AAATTTGATTAAATTTTGCATTTGATTAAATTTTCCAGACACCTTTAATTTCTGGATTGCTGCACCCTCCTTACCCTCTCTTCACACACATTGCCAGAAGAGTAAGAGAGCTTTGCAGCTTTCCTGACATCCAGAACTGAGATGTTAGCTCAGGAAGGGACTCCTCCATAACCCCATTGGACTCTTAAGAATCTGGAAATGCCACCTGAGAACCAACAGACATTGGTGACCAATCATTTTGGGAATGGCACTTCAAATCCTGTGTGGTAAGGAACACAGAATCTCCCACCTGACAGCTCTGAGGCAGAGTAGGTGTGGGAATAACAGCAGTCTTTGCCCAACTCCACACTACCAGAGCAGCTGACACCAGTTATCTCCGTGTTTCTATGCTGTGTCGTCCCCAAGGTAGCACTGGCTAAGCCAATCTTGGAACCACAAGAATTAATAAAGCTTTGGTACAGTGCTGCACTTGGGTTAATTAGCTCTGTTTAAAGGAGGGGTGGAGAGGGGCTAATCAGCAAGGGCAGATTGCCAGGCTAACGTGATTATACCGTATCCAGGACCCCAGCTAGGATCTCTGCACCGAATTCCCTGCACGTGTCCATTTGGAGGCAGTTCAGAACACCGAACTACAGAGTAAGCTGGCCTGAAAACACAGGAGGAGCCATGAAGGGTCAGGCTGAGGGCTCCTCTCACCTGGTGCTGTGTCTTGGACAGTTTCAGGTGCTTTGAGGAAGAGGTGAAAGAATAAAAGAGGCACACAGCAATCCAGCTCCTAGCTTTTCTGACAAAAGCAGATTAGGGATACCCCCTGCCAGGGGCTGTATCTACATCTTAGCATTCAGGAACACTTGAAAGATTTTCTTTACGTGAATTTGTCTAAATATTCTGAGGTTAATCAAACTTTGGACCTTTGCAGCACCCTGTGGCTATGAGTTTCACAGTTTAATTATATACCATTAAAAAACCCAAATCACTTCTTAAACCTGTTGCCTAATAAGACTGTACATTGCTGGTCTCCAAGGAAGAGCAAGGATCGAGTAAGCCCAGAAGACAGATTCTCAGCTCTTGTTGTAGGAAAGTAAAGATAGTTAGCCAGACCATGGGATAAAACTGTGGCAAGAAGGACTGTGCTGATGGTTAAGCAGGGCTGTTTCAGGAACTGAGGGGTGATGTCTATAGGATTTATAAAGTGATTCTCTCTTTAGTGTTACCCACTTGCCCCTCTTGCAACTCTGCTGCAGCGGGTGCTTCTTCAGAATAATGAGAAGTAAATATGCGAGTATCTTCCCAGTTTCAATACATATGTCAAGAACCAGAGGCTTTGGAAAGGTTTGGGGTCATTGGACAGTTCAGACAGTGGTGGCTGAGAAGGGAGGAGGAGCAAGGGTTGAATGTGGAGAGCAGAGAGCTTGAGGGAATGCCAGTGTAGCAGACAGATCCTGGGAAGCGGTGAGGCTCTGGGAGAAGAGATTACAGCTTTGCTGGGCTCTGCAATGCTGACAGCAGCAATTCGTACCTCTCATCAGTCATTCTCCCATATGTACCTGAGAAGATAAACATGGGAGAGCTGAGCCTCTCTGCAGGATGCCCATCACTGCTTGCATCCTGCTGGGATGGCACAGCAAAGCCCAGAGTCTCTCTCTGCTTTATTCCAAGCAGCATGGCTGCAGTGAGCAGCATAATCACCACTCCAAAAAGCCTCAAGGTTACGGAGTCTGCTAGGGAGGATGAGTGTGGGTGTGTGCGGTGACTTGACATAAATATTAATCCATCTAAGCTTTAGGATTAGAGAAAGAAATTAATAGAGGAACCTGCAAAAAGCATGAAAATAACTTGCATATCAGTCTAGTTTATTCATCTTCTGGGCAGGAGACATTCTTCCTCCCTTGTGAGCCACAGCTATGGGAGATCGTGGGGTAATTTTGCAATGAACAATGAATTTACACGTTAAGGCTTGAGGTGATCTAAGAACAGCTGAAAAGGGCCTTGCACGTCTGCTCTCGCTTATGGCCCTCTTCCACCATCACCCTGCATCAGCTCTGGCAATCACTAGTCTCTACACTAAGCTAATTCAACTCACTGATCTGGTGGAAAACTAACTGGGAAGAGAGAAATCTGCTCAGTAAAGGTCTGAGAAGTATGAAAGGTGGTGTACAAGAGTGGAACGGTGCAGTTGAGAATAGTGGCAGGGGGCACTGGGTGAGAACCACTGTGTGGGGCTTCCTCTCTTCGGTCAGAGCTGTCAGATCAATTCAGTTACAATATGTAAGCGCACAACAGGACTTTGGGAAATCTTCCTATCAGAATCCTTCAGGATGGACTTGTAGTAATATTCTCTTACTGTAGGAAAGAAACATCGATCCTGAGTGCAAAGATATTTCGGAGTTAGACACCACAATGAGGTTAAGAGATAAGAGTCAGCTCCTGATCCTGCCACTGACTCTCTCTGTGACCACAGGCAAGTAATTTAGGGCATAACACTCTGCAAGATGGGACAGAATGGTCCTTTCCAACTTCGCCTCTGGGACTGGAAATAAAATAGACACTTCAGAGTGCCAGATCTAAAGAGCTCTTCTGATTTAGAGCTTTTTAAGAGAGGCACAGAGCCAACCTTACACGATGGCTCTGCCAGTCCCAGTGCCCGAGCTGGTGTGAGTGCTCTATGCCACGTGGGACTTTCCACTTGTACTTGGAAACCTCGACACTGCACTGACTTGGAGGCTGCAACTTTCCTCTCCAAATTCTTCATGCTTCCTACCACCCCATCGATCCTATACAGCTTCACTGCCTTGCAGAAACTAGCATAGCATGAAGTCAGATGCTCCAGGAGGAGATTTAGACAGGACAGGGATTGAGTGTCCAAATATTCCATGAATCGAACCCAGAGTGAGAGAAGTCTGCTACTGAAGCCAACAGACAGCACATCTTGGCTTTTATTCCTCTTCTCAAAAGCCCTGTTTGTACAAGGGAAGAACAAGTTGGTTTGGCAGAGATGTGCGCAATCTGAAACATCACCACAAACTCACTCCTGAACCTTGTCCTGAAAGTTACACGAAGCAAAGCCTGTCAGCGCAGTCAGGAGTTACAACCTCCTGTCCTCTTACCGTGTTAGTTCTGCTACTCCTCTCCCTCTCCACTGTCCCCTCTTTCTTTGGCTACTCTCAGAAAAGCTGCTAAAACCTCTGTAGCCTGAGCCTCTGCTGAGGTGAGAGGCAGAGTCCTGTTTGCAGCCCAAGTCTCTGCACTGCTCTCTGCTTCTACTCATCAACCTGCAAACTGGAGATTCTTTGCTTATAATATGCTTCAACAGACACATTGTCCCATGAGGACTGAACTAAATTGAGTTGCAAGGCTGCAGATCATGAAGCAGCTTCATTTTAATCATGGCTATTCAAGTGCTAAGGAATGCAGAAAGTAAATACATATTTGTTTTTAGGCCATCATTTGTCCCATTTGCAAGAGGAAAATGAACATAGTCCCTGTAGCTTTGTTACTAGGAGAATGCCTTGGGAAATGAACCTGCTGTCACCACTACCCATGAAATACACCCTTTGTTAAATCCTTTACCCACTGCTTTTGTCACAGAGCTTTTCTCTTTCATCTATTAACCCTCTCATTCACATCTCCAATTCTAATCAGGCCTCTCACACTTCTTCTGCCACCCCAGCCACAGTCCCTCTTGGCTTACTGGTGACTGATTTCCCTGAGCACTGACTGGAATTCAGCTTCCAGGGTCAAGTTCTGCCCTTGTCTTCAGACCCAGCTCAGGAAAAAAATCGTAGTGCCCAGTCCTGCAGGTGTAAACTTGGCTGTGGCCACTGACCAGGTGGTTGGATTTGCAAATCAGTCCTTGACTTCTGTGCAACTTCAAACACATTTGAATAAATGCTCTGCATACACAGATTTGATCAGCTTGCATTCCTAGTGCTGCAGTGTCCTTCTCTTTGGCATGCCTTACTCTCAATTAGAGTTAGTCCAGCCAATTTGTAAACTCTATACAAAGCCCAGTGCCCTAATTGTATCCCAGTCCTCCACACTTATTCTCCTGGGCTTTCTCCCTCTTTTAGTCCTAGTTCTGGTCTGATATCTTCCCTGTCCTCAAAGCATGATTTAGCCTTTGGTCATCTTTGCTTTCACTCTCTGTACTACTGCAAAGTCTTTCTGTAATCCTCTTGTCTTAAATCTGTTCCTAGGCCATGTAGCAAATCCTTTCTCCCACCTCCTTCCACATAGCAACTTAAAATTCACCTGTTTTTTAAGCCTGTGTATGCAAGCCATACTTCACGCACTAGAACAACAGCTATCCTTGCACCTAATCTATCTGCAGTGGGCAACACCTAATTCTTCCTCTTCTTAATCTTCAGGCCAAACGTATACTTACCATCTTACAAATGCACAGCATCACCTTAAACCCACCACCACCAGTTAGTGCCACTGCAGTGGTGTAACCTGATCAGTTGTGACATTTCTGTCTGTGTCCTATATTATGCAATTCAGCAAGGATGCAACTAATTGGATAGCTACGTGGGGAACCTGTTTGGTGCTCCTGAGCTTTGATCTGGGCTTTGGGGTTTGTTATGTAGTTTCACTCATGAGCACTGAAGTGAATAATCTGGATACTTTCAAAAAAAAGTACTTGCTAAACAAAAGCTGCATGTTCTTGAACATTCACTTGAGGTTTGAAACAAGATCTTGGAAAGGAAAAGTGACTTACAATTTTAGATACCAGTGACAATGATAATGTTGATCGAAACAGACAGTAAGAGACAACAAAAACCACCCGCTTGCCCTGTTATTATCCAAGTGCCCTTGCATCTATTTCCTCAAGAGGGTCTGTCTGAGTGAACGGATGGGTATTGATTACCAATAGTCTGCCATGGTGATGAAGACACTGCACCTTTGGCCTCTCACATGGGCCACTGACATTCCTGGCTTCATCCAGACAGTGCGTTAACCACCCCTGGGGCATGTAAGGGTTTGCAAAGCCCAGTCCTTACCTTCTCCTGGTACTGACGCCGTGAGGAGTCCAGAGACTGGATCAGGGCTGTGGCATGGCCAATGAACATGGCATAGCAGGTGGCACCGACGATCATGCTCAGCATGGTGAGCCACACGTCGGACATGCCAACAGGCGCCTGCTGCCCGTAGCCAATGCACAGCATGTGACTCATGGCCTTGAACAGCGCATAGGAATACTGCTTCCCCCAGGAGTCATTCTGGAGAGACAGAGAGACAGACAAAGCTTTAGCAAGACATTTTCTGGGATGAGCACATTTCAGAAAAGGAAACCTAACATTTGACCCAAAAGTCCATGTTTAAAGCACCTCTGAATCTTACAGAATCACAGGATCACAGAATGTCAGGGATTGGAAGGGACCTCAAAAGATCATCCAGTCCAATCCCCCTGCCGGAGCAGGAACACCCAGATGAGGTTACACAGGAAGGCGTCCAGGCGGGTTTTGAATGTCTGCAGAGAAGGAGACTCCACAACCTCTCTGGGCAGCCTGGTCCAGTGCTCTGTTACCCTCACTGTTACCCTCACTCATCTTAAACATGCAACTTAATTCTTTGATAGCTTGGAAGTGCTGGGAACACTCGATTTGTGAAGAAAAAAAAAAGAAAGAAAAAAAGCCCTAATTTAGTCATCTGACATTAACTGACTTTGGCCAAGGTTTTTACAGATTCCATGTCCTCTTTCCAGCAAAACGTTCCAGAAAGGGAGCCAGACAGGCTGTCACACTGGTAACCTGGGATAAACTGAGATGATGCACTGGGATATTTTCAAAATCACCTACATGTGGGAGAAGGAACTGAAGCAAATGATTACTCCACTGGGAAATGGACTTTGAGAGAAACTGGTAAAAGAGAACCTGAGCAAGGTTGCCAGTAGCAAGACCTTAGAGCAGGGAAAATCACTCACCAGCAATTTAGGAAATGGTCAGGATCTCTGGTTATTACCTGAAGAGCTGGGAAGGGCAGAAAATGAAGCTGGTAATGTCCAGACAGCAAGTTCTTCTCAGTGTAAACCAGGGCTCTTTTCAGGGAGCTGAGAAAACTACAAATGGTCTCATTTGAGAGTTGCAATAAACCACTGTGAGAAGCCAGCTGAAGTCAGCAGCTTCTTTTGGACACCCTGTGCTCTCCCACTGCAACTAACTCAAGAAGCACCTCAGCAATTACATTATGGGACAGGGAGGAAAAAGGGCATAAGTTTCACTATTATTCTGATTAGCTTGAGTTCACGGAACAGTTCAAGGTACATTTACTATCCTGTGGGTATTATATGCTAGCAAGTCCTTGCCACAAAACCTTGTAAAGTAAATGCACTGTCATCACACATTGCTCTTACAAGGCAAGTGAAAAAATACCTCTGCTACAGTGACATTCATTGCAGCGCACAGTCTGTACGTTCATCAGTCTTCTTTCTGTTCCTAGGAAGGTGTTAACATTATGGATATAGCTGTGCAGACACATACACCGTGGCAACTTCAAAGGTCATTGTACAGAAGGCCTGGTGTGTGGTTTGTCGAACAGTCAAGTGATATTTTTGTGAACTTCACTCAGAGCGATGCAGCAGCCTCAGCACCAGTGACTGGTAATGCTGGGAGCCCTGGAGTTTACTGGTCACTTCCTTGGAGATATCTCATCCCGATCAGGTGGACAGCTGATGACCACTCTGCAAACAGCCCTCTGAGTGTCACTAATGTTGATGGAAATTTTTCAGTAAGCTTGCAAGTAGTAAACAGAAGCAAAGTGTTCTGTTGCTGATTGCAAGCTGTGGCAACGAGCTGGAACCTCTGGAGAGTGTTAATGCTTGGTTAGGAGATAAGCACATGGACAAAGACAGGGGATAGCGTTACCCTGGCTACATCCAATTACATTACGCAAGACAGCCTTGATTCACACTGCAACAAGAAGGGTAAAGCAACAGAAGTGACAATGAAGCGGACACAGAAGCAGCAGCACATTGACAGCCCCAGAAGAGAGTGCTCCCTGCTGGCGCCAGCCTGTCCGGGCTCACCTCCCTAACAAAGCAGGAACCTGTTCACCTCCTGCACTGGAAAAATCTGCCCATGAGGCAAGAGAAAGAGACAAGAGACAATGTGGCCATTGGTGTCTCTGTTCTTGGCTATGCAGCCGTCTTACCAGTGTGTAAAGAGCCACAGCTCAAAGAGAGGCACCAGCAGTCACACTTGACCAACCTTTCCTTAAAATGGCACATCCCCTGTAAAGATGGGCAGCGCATTCATGGCTTTACTGGTGCAGAGGCAGTAGTGCAGGTGTTCTGTCCCATCCTTGCCTTGTTATAAATGAGTTCCTTTCCCATGCAGGCATTTCTCAACAGCCACTGCAGAAATGCTGTTGCCTTTCAAGTTCAGTGTGGCAGTAGTTTAACAGGGCAGCATGTCTCCACAACAGAATTGAGGGCAGGGAGCAAAGAAATGCCTAGCTGAAATTCCAAAGGGGATTTGGGGAGACACAGTAAGAATAGCTGGGCTGAAATTTTATATACCAGGAAACTGGCTGCCAGGGTCTTTAATGGCCATGGATGATCAGAGCCAAAGAGGAACATCTGGGTATCAGGCAGGTTCAAGTTTTAAAAGCCATTCTTCCAGCAACTTGCTGCTCAGGAATGCTGTTTACGAGGAAGCTTGGCAGCATTTTGTAGGAATTAGTCATCCAAAACTACAACATCTAACATCACTGAGCCCCCGCAGCCTGCAGAAATGCTTCTGTTTCCCTGGGAAATCTACACTTACAAGTCGCAACCCCAATTCCCACCAGCAGCATGGCTCCCTGTGAGGACAGCCTGCTTCATGCCAGACTGAGGAGATTGCTGAGTAATGACAGACTGAGGGGCGAGAGCCGGAGGAAAACATGGAGTGTTTAAAAAAATCCTGAGCAATGTGGTCTGCTGGGAGAAGAGATCAAGCACTGCTGAAAGAGAGGCACTTCCACGAAGGGGAAACCTTGCAGAGCACCTACCTTTAGGAAACAACCTCTGAGCTCTTTCAACATCTAAAAAGAGCACTGGATATCCATGGCACAGTCTATGTGATGACTCTGCTTATAGATCTCAGTACATCTGTAGTTTTCAGGCCAGACTAGTTGAATTGGTTCCAGACATACTGGGGACACAAGTTTAGTATATTCAATATACCACTATGCCAGTCCCAACAGTGGGAGGGCTGTACTACTTCAGACATACTGGAGGGGCTAAAATGGTCCATTAGAGTAGGTAAATGAGGCCTTAGACTGCAGAAAGAAAATGACTCCTCATTAACCAAATCTCAAAGCAAGCTGCAATGGAGCTACAGATCTGTGCTTGAACATAGTCAGGAGGGGTGTTATCTCAGACACATACCAGGCACTAAGAGCATTTGCAAAGGGGAGTTAAAATGACTTTGGAGCTGTTTCTCAGATTAGCTTGTTTTTAACATCCGCGCTGGCAGGACTATAAGGGTTGCTCTGGGATTAGTGTATGGACTGCAATGCCTCTGCTCAGATCCACCCTTGAATACTTGAAGACACGTTCCTGGAGCTCTTCAAAGGCAGTGCTGGGTTCTGCAGTACCTTACAGAAGCACTTAAAGAAACAACATGGTGTCTTATAGGGTGTTATGGATCTGATGTACGTGTGAATGTACCTGGTTGAACTCTCACAGGTGAAGACTAGAGAGAGATAAGTAAAGACATAGAGAAGTTCTGGCAAATTCTTGGGGTAGGGGCACAATGTTATGCCTGACTTACACCACAAACATTTCACAATCCTAAGGAACTGGCTATAGTGAAAAGGCGTATTTCCATCTTGTGAACTCCCACGTTTGTCTCAGCACTGATCTTAGTTGGCCACAGAGTTGTTCGTCGGGGTTTGCTACTGCACACCACTTAGGTTGAGCTGTGAAATAAGGCCTCAGAACATCCCCTGGACAACACTGTAGCTGCTGAGCCGGGAAAACAGACCTTCAGATCTAGTTTAAAGGAAGGGAATAGTGGATGAGAAATGGAGATGATGGGTCAGACTTCACATTGGACAGAACCTGCCTGTTCCAGGCTTATTTCCAAGGAGAGCTTTGCATGGCCTTCACCTAACAGAAGAGAAGATTTTCTCAGGACTGAGTGCATCAGTCTTAATTGCCCAAGACAGCCTTACCTGGGACCCCCACCCATGGTCCCTGGAGCTCCCATTTCAGGGCAGGCCTGGGCACCCAGACCTTGCCTGAGGTGCCTGTACCTCTGCCCAGTCCTGGGCCCTGAATCCATCCTTATGTTATGACAATTAGTATTTCCTACACAAGGTCACTGCATTTGACATGGGGATATTTGTCTTCCCTGCAGGGTTTATCAGTTCAGCACGATACTCAAGGGAGTGAGCCACGTGTTTCCAGCAGCTCTCAGGTCTCAGCAGAGCCCAGATTTCTCTGATGAGGAGCTGCCAGGCAAGGGTCTTGGGGTGAAGCTGCTGTCCGCTCTGCAGCTGACTCACCAGCGTCTCTCTTTTTAATAAAGTGCCCTGTGGGGAAGCTAACACTGAAGCCCCAGAGATTGGGGCTGAGCAATTAATACTGAAAACATCCTTCCCTGCCATTTCAGAGCCAGATCAGAAAGAAGTCATACAGAGACTCGCTCCTTTGACAATTGCTAAAGAAGAAACATGAAGCACGTAGAAAACACTGAGAGGAATTTGACCCAGGGATTTATTGAGTCCCTGGTATCATTTTGGCAACACCAGAATCTTCACAGATTGCCTGGAAGAGGATCAAACCTTTATGAAGCAGATGGGAGGTGATGAATCTTCATTCACTGCTGCATCAGAATTGGAGCTGGTTTTACGGACTGCCAGGTGTCTAGGTGGGAAACACCAGAGTAGTGGAAAAGCAGCACCATCATACTCCAGGAGAAAGCCTCCAAAGCATTTGGCACCTCACCTTCAGCTCCCCTTGGCTGTAGCAGCTTCAGAATATTCCTTTTTTTACCTACAGTGGTTCCAACCCAGCTTTTTGGCTCCCGTGTGTGATCAGGGCAGTTGTGCACCAAGTACATTTATCTTCTCAAGGCTGTGACCAGGTCAGTACAGAATGTCCCAAAACCCAACCTACCAGCTCTCTGTCACAGACTGATGCCACTCTGGCCTCTCATCTCCCAGTCCTGTCCATCACAGCTCTCAAACAGAGCCCTTCTGCAAACCACCACCAAGATCTTGGCACCAAAGTCCAAGAACAGCCCAGGCCACCGATTTCTTGTTGTTTTCTGACTCAGTGGCCTCCCCTATTGCTTCACAGTAGACTATACATAAATTGCTGCACTAATCATGCCATCCAAATCCATCAGTGGTCCCAGTGACACATCTGGAAATCTTCTCAGGAGATTAGAGGAGAGAACCTTATTACGAGAAGAAACTATCATCTGATCCCAGAAGAACTAATTATTCTTTTTGGTAAATGTTCTAAAACCAGGCTATTTTGGGGTTGGCATATTAATGTACAGCTTCTGAAGTGGAAGCTACCCGAAACACGGGTGGGGCATATGACCATATCTCCAGTTCTTCATCCCAGTTCCCTGAGGGCCAGTTTCTGAGATAGTCACTGAGATAATTTTTGTTTCACTTTCAGCAAGTGGAAAAAGTGAAGGTGATTTAACTGTAGAGGAGAAGTGGAAAAAATCACACAAGGCAAGTTTAATTCCCAGCTTCACAGGCTCTCAAGCCTGGGAAGACGAATACTGCAGCATGAGTCCTCACCTGGTAAACTGCCTCTTGAGAGAAACTTTCTACCCTGCCTCTCTTGGAGACTCTGCTGAGCCCTCCTACCTGAGGGATGCAGTCTTGCTGCTAAGAAGGGTGCCTAGGCTAAATCTTTTCTTTCTCTGTTCTGTCTTCTGCCACCTTTCAAGACCTATACCTTCACCACACAGTTACCTTGCTGGTCATTTAATAGGCTCTGATCATATTCTGGCCCAGGCAGCTTTTCTTCTAGATTATATAAATATAGCTTTGTTTTCTCCCTCATCAGGCTCTGATCCCAGTGGTTTTCTGGCTTTACAGCCTCTGAGTGAAAAGTGCCCAAGAGCAAATTTGCATTAGCTTTGTGCCATGCATTTGGGCAACCTACTCAGACCAACCCCAGCTCTCTCAGACTGTTTGAGATGCCCACCAGTACAGTATTTTCTTATCCTCAGCAGTAACTGGGGAAGGAAAACTCTCTGAGCCTCCCACCTGACTTGCCTGGCCTCACACAGAACAAAGCTGGTAACTGAACCCAGGTGTTCTGCTTTCAGTCCATGCTCCAGCCACTGGATTATTATTCCTCTCACCGTGTGTGTCTGCCGTTGCTAGTTATTGCCTTCTGTGAAGGTTTTCCATACACCAGTTACCAGTAGACCTGGTTGTTTTGACTCTTCAGGTCACTTTGCAGCTTGTGTTGCAGCTTGTTGTTGCCATCAGACAGCAGCCTTCACCCAAACGTTAGGATAAAGGAAACATGGCTCAAATCTGCTGCTCTGAAACTGTCCTGCAAGGGCACCATGACCAAGTCACTTCATCAGACAGAGATGATTTCTGTCTGCACCTCTGAGCTCTCCAGGACAAGGAGCTGTGTGTCCTTTTGAACCTGAATATCACAAGCGCAAGGCGGCCCTGATCTTTCATTGCTCCTGCCATATAAATAATAAAAAGGCAGCATGGGGGAAGATAAGGCAGCTGCTACATGGGTTGTTCTTCTGCTGTAGATAAATAAAGGGCTTCAGTCTCCAGAACTGTCAGTCTGGCACCTTTCATCAGCAGGAAGTGAATGATTATTGCAGAGGGAAGAAATGCATAAATAAACACCAGACAGACAACTTTTCCATGGATGCTCACTCTTCTCAGACATGGGCAGCATGTGCCCACAGCTCCGCATGTGGGAGGCATGGGAAGTTGGCAGTTCTTTTATACATTTTGCATTTGTTCTGTTCTGCCCGAGTGCCTGATTATTTTTTTTTAAGAAGAAATTGGCTGGGGGAATCTGGAGGTTAAGAGCTGCAACAAGAGACAATTTTTTAAGCTTTGTCAGTTTTTGCTGCTTAATCAACTGGACATTGTCCCTTTAAATAACAGATCTTGAATTCTCAGCGAGATGGTTGGAAGGTACCATGAACTCCCCATGCCTTTACCATATGGTATAAATCTCCCTCACAGCAAACAACAGAGTGATCAGCACAGCTTGAGACATTGTTGAGAATTCTGGCTACTGTTCCCTCCATTCAGGGAGGCTTGGCAGAATTTGTTGCAGCCCACTCTAATGGGATATTGTGCAGGGACAAGGGTGGGTGAGCACACCGATCCTTCAGGTTTCCTTGGGATCAGTAATGGGAACTATGGATCAGACCCAGCGACGGCTCTAGGACCCCCACTGCCTCCTGCCTTTGGCTCGGTGTGCCCAGATCCCAGCAGAAAACCGTTTCCATTCTTGCTCTTTGCTTTCTCCTGCCAGGAGGGGGAGCCTGGTTCCTGCTACAGGCTCTGCTGGGGCTGGTCCTGCTCTGCAGCCCTGAGACTCTCATTGCAGAGCCTCCAACGAGTCTCCATGCCCACAGTGTCTTTGCTTTACATGTGCCCGCTGGATAGTGACAAGTGGTGGCCCTCTGGGGTCTGTACTGGGACCGGTGCTGTTTAATACCTTCATCAATGACACAGACAGTGGGATCACGTGCACCCCTAGCAAGTTTGCAGGTGACACCAAGGTGAGTGGTGTGGTTGACGTGCCTGAGAGATGAGATGCCATCCAGAGCGACCCGGACCAACTGGGGAAGTGGGCCCATATGAACCTCGAGAGGTTCATCAAGGACAAGTGCAAGGTTCTGCACCTGGGTCAGGGCAACCCCTGGTATCAATACAGGCTGTGGGATGAAGGGATTGAGAGCAGCCCTGCAGAGAAGGACCTCCGGATACCAGATACAAGCCAGCAATGTGCACTTGAAGCCCAGATCAACTGTATCCTGGGCTGAATCAAAAGAAGTGTGGCCAGCAGGTCAAGGGAGGTGATTCTCCCCATCTACTCTGCTCTGGTGAGACCCTACTGGAGTACTGCGTCCAGCTCTGGGGTCTTCAGCACAAGAAGGACATGGCCCTGTTGGAGTGGATCCAGAGGAGGGCCACAAAAATGATCAGAGGACTGGATCACCTCTCCTATGAAAGGCTGAGAGAGTTGGGGTTGTTCAGCCTGGAGAACAGAAGGCTCTGGGGGGACCTTATAGCAGCCTTTCAGAACTTAAAGAGGGCCTATAAGAAAGACGGGGACAATCTTTTTAGCAGAGCCTGTTGTGATAGGACAAGGGGTAATGGATTTAAACAAAAAGAGGGGAGATTTAGACTAGACCTAAGAAAGAAATTTTTTACAATGACAGTGGTGAAACACTGGCACAGGTTGCCCAGGGAGGTGGTAGATACCCCATCCCTGGAAATGTTTGAAGTCAGGCTTGATGGGGCTCTGAGCAACCTGATCTTGCTAAAGATCTCACTGCAGAGGGGATGGACTAGATGACCTTTAAGGGTCCCTTCAACTCAAAACATTGTATGATTCCAAGATTCTATGATAGTGGAGGAAGGTCCTAAAGAGATGTAGGGAAGCTGGGAGATACCATATCAGTGCTGGGAGGTTGGTACTGAAATGGTGAAGCTGTGACCGAGGGCCTGGGTTTAGGGCCGTGAAGGAGCAAACAGGGCAGGCACTTACCACCATGCGGTTGAGGGACACCCAACAATCATCGGGGAAGTCCTGCAGCATAGGCACGAGGAACTGGAGGCAGCCATCCCAGTGACACAGCAGCAGCATCATCCCAATGAGGTTCACAATCCGCACCACTGCGCTAGCCAGATCGTAGGTCATGTGGAAGATCTGCAGGGGCCAAGAGGGAGCACATTAGATGGCAGCTCCCCAAACAACCAACCCAACATAATTAGATGCAGTATCAGGGTCAAGCACCTTGCTAAACTAACAGAAAAGGCTGCATCAGCTCAGCCCAGGTCAGTTACAATATGGAAGCAGAACCAGCTGAAGAACAGATTAAAAACCAAAATATAAAATCATAATCATTCACCCCTTGTGCCCTTTGATTTTGCCTTCTAATTTATATTAAAAGCTCCATAACCCATTTTATACAATAAGTTGTTTGCAAATATTTCTAGAACATCAGCCACTCCTCAGAAATAAACTCTATCATTACAACTTTTTAACTGCAATGCTCTCCCTTGATTTCTGCCCTTGCTGAATATATGCCACGCACTGACCCATGGGTGGAAGCTGTGTTTGTACTGGATGGCAGATGCAGTCTCTGCAAGTATCAAATGTAAGAAAGGATGGCCTCAACTCAGCAGAGACTGCTAGAAGAGGATCTCATTCAAATATTTTATTTTATTTCTTGTATTCTGCTGCTATATGACTTCCAGGCTTATGTGCAGGTGTGCAAGGAAAACAGAAACACAGCAGAGCTGTGTAGCAGTTTTTAGACATGAAGCCCAGTAACTTGGAAAAGGCAACAGCAACCACACCACTGCAGCCAGTTCCCTGATGCAAAGGGAGTCTATCACCATGCTGTCTGTAGTACCACTCATAAGCAGGACACACAGAGAAATCCAGGTGCCCTATTAGCATATGCAGTCAAGAATCACTTGATGGACACTGGTTTTTGCCTGCTGGTGGTGTGCTGTGGAGACACCGCGGGTGCTTGGCTCTTTTATGCCCAGCTTTGTGATGCCAGCTAGACACAAGGGGTATGCCAGCCACCGCTATCCTGAGCTATGTATCCGCTCTGGTTTGGTTTTCCCTGCCTTGCAACATGCCACGGTGAGGAGAGACGGGCTGTGGAGAACATGGCTGGCCCTGTGGGGCTCAGCACTGAGCCCACCTTCTGATCTCTAATGCCATGAAATGCATGAAATGCCAGAAAAGCCAATGGCATCTTGGCCTGTATTAAAAACAGTGTGACCAGCAGGTCCAGAGAGGTGATCATCCCCCTGTACTTGGCACTGGTGAGGCCGCACCTCGAGTCCTGTGTTCAGTTCTGGGCCCCTCACTAGAAGAAGGATGTTGAGATTCTGGAGCGTGTTCAGAGAAGAGCCACAAGGATGGGGAGGGGTCTGGAGAACAAGCCTGATGAGGAGCGGCTGAGGGAACTGGGCTTGTTTAGCCTGGAGAAGAGAAGGCTGAGGGGAGACCTCATCACCACCTACAACTACCTCAAGGGAGGTTGTGGAGAGGTGGGTGCTGGTCTCTTCTCCCAGGTGATGGGGGATAGAACAAGGGGAAACGGCACCAAGCTGTGCCAAGGGAGGTTCAGGTTAGAGATAAGGAGGAAGTTCTTTACTGAGAGGGTCGTCAGAAGCTGGAACAGGCTGCCCAGGGAGGTGGTGGAGTCACCATCCCTGGATGTATTTAAAGAGTGGGTAGATGAGGTACTTAGGGATATGGTTTAGTGGGTAGACAGGAACGGTTGGACATGATGATCTCAGAGGTCCTTTCCAACCAAGCTATTCTGTGATTCTGTGAAGTTCGTGAAGACAGGAGGGCACCGTCAGTGGGCACTGGATCCAGTAAGGACCATACCCTTAGTCCTCATAGTGTGCTGGTTTCCAGCTAAAGAAGCCTACCGACAACAGAGACCCCTGACACATCTGGCATCCTCTCCCACATGCGGCTGTGTCATCACAGCAATCTGTGACAGAGCCGAGATGGATAGAGGCCCGCCAGCCATGCCCCAGCCCTGCCAACACGTCCTGCCCTAGAGCCCTGCCAGAAGAAACGTTAATCACTGCTCCCCACACACGGCCTTGCTGTTTCTGGCAGACCAGGAGTGAAATATTTGGACATAATTTTAATGTGAATGAAGTGGACTCCCTGCTGTCAGCTGCTGTAGCTGGGCCTTCTCAGGAGGCCTCCCCATGGTTTGAAGGCACATACAGCCTGGCTGTTCTGCAGCCCAGCCCGCAGTCTGGTGACACAATGTCCTAGTTGGATTTAATGGAAGGGAACAAAAAGCAGAGGTATTTGAGGAGCAAAGACGACTACTGTGTATCAGATGAGGTTGCACGTCCCAGCTCCAGCTCTCCTCCTGCATTCCCACTCTGCCCTGGAGGATAGTACTCCCCTCTAATCTGGTTACACCAGCCTGAAGCTTCCCACAGAGCTTGCTTACCCCACGCTGCAGCCCGTCCTGCTCTCCCCTCCACTCCAGCCCACAACCTCTCTGCAGTGTCACCTGCAGAGTGACACTTGCTGTTTCCTGACCTGCCACCTCACCTCTCATTGCAGCGTGACTCCCGGGGCTGCTGTAAAACTGACCTCCAAGCAAGCCACACAGAGCACACAGTGACACCTATCCAAGCTCGTCACTTCCTTAGGGATGTGGCAGGATTTACTGTCATTTCTTTGGATGTTAAATAAACCTGCAAACACAACTTTCTTACGAGGCACCAGGCAGTGGGCCAAAAAGCACGGAGACACCGATACAGGCTTATATATGACAGTAATTTTCAGTTTGTTGTGTTATTAATAAAAATTGATAGTGCAGTGACTGCAACCGCAGGGAGAAGCAAACTTAGAGCTCCCTGAGTGCTGAAGCCTCAGCGCAGGAAGGCGGGCATGCAGCAGGTGACTCAGCCAGCTGGGAATCACCTCCCGAGGTGCAGGCAAGTACCAAGGGAGCTGTCTGTCTGTCAGGGAAGCGTCTGAAGCAGGTGATATGGCCATAGGCATGTTATGTGACTGCATGGCTAACTCCATATAGCTCCTTTCTGCTCTGAAAGGAGTGGTCCTGCTCCCTCCATCCACCCATGGCTGTATGTACCTGCCATCTTTGCCTGTACCAGGGATTGGCCTCCTCTGATCCCACAGTGAGTCAGTTCAAGCAGCTAAAAGGCAGGAAACTTTTGTTATAAAAGAAAGGAACCATGGTTTGTCAGCTTAGCTGCCTAAATTGGCTCATCACTCTCTTGACAGAGCTAGCTGTTCAATTTGAATGCTTGTTTCCACACCAGATATTACCACTTCCCCACCTAATCGGGATGCCACGAGGTCATACGCACTGAGAGATGCTGACTTGCTCAATCCAGACTGGGAGGAAGCCAGAGAAGAATGCTCGAAGCCAGAATGATTTGGATAACTGCTTCTAAACCCTATTATTTCTGCTGCATCCAAAATGCAGCTGGAGACCACAGTGTCACTTAGTGTGAGAAAGGCCATTTTAGTGATATTTCTGGGCTGAAAAGAATAAAATATCCAAAATCCTGCATGAAAGGCTGTTCCAGGAAATCCGACTCTCAATGCTGACTCAATAGGTCAGAATGAAAGCTGAGCACATCATTTATACAGAATAATTCCTACTGGTATCATATTTTTCCTTCTCATTGCCATTCTCATTTAGATAACCCAAAGTGAATCCAGCCTACCTGAGTGACGGCCACGGGCAATGCCTTTAATGAAGCCAGAGCAGCAGCTTGCAGAAGGATCACTGAATGGATCTTCTGTATCACCAGGGGTTTACTGTGCTAATGACTTTTCCTCTCCCACCTATGTGTGTTTTGCAAAGAGCCCCAGCCCTCCTGTAACGCAGGGAACTACAGCCAAGGATGGGGAGAAACCCTGTCAGATTTAGGAAGTGCCTTTCTTCCTTTAATATATTAAAAGCAGGGAGTGGACAGCCTGAGGGAATAGATGGTTTAGGGGAAAGGTGAATGGATATGGAGCTTCTTATATTGATTGGGATCTATTCTAGTCAAGCTAGGGCAGAAAGCCTTTATTCTTTGGTGCACTTCCAAAAAACAGGAATGAATGAGTGTGTTTGCTTCTGCTGTTAGGCCCCACTGCCTCCTCTCATGCACTAATAACTCACACGTTCGCTGGCAGCTGAGAAATGACAACTCTGTGCAGAGTGTGTGTACGTCTTGGCTCACAGGTCTCGCTTCACCGCTGGGTCACCATCCGTCATGTAACCCACCTGTAAGCATCGGACCCTGTGTTGAAGCACAAAGGGGAGAAGAGTTCTGCCTCTGGACAAACGTTGGGCCGTGTCTGCGCTTGTAGTACACGGGTGTTCCCATCGCAGAGCTCAGACAGCGGCCGTTCAGGATTGCCCTCTAATACCCGTTACTGACAAGAGGGAAGGTTCACACCTCAGCTGACACAAACTTCCCACACAGGTAGGGACAATATCTGCTTTACACAAGGGTGGATTCAGCTCACCCACTTTGGACCTTGAGATCTATCACACCTTATCCTTGGTGCCATCTCAAGGCA